GTCACTAGCGTCGATATGTGTTATTTATTTATTTAACGGAGTCATTCCTTTCCTCTACTCACTTGAGTTCAACACGGTGACCTCTGCATTACTAATTTTACGTGGTAATATTTTTTATAAAATGGGCATTTTATTTAACATTGGATTCAAAATAAACTAATTTATTCCTTGCAATGTCACAGAAAAAAAGTAGTCAATTCATGCATGTGAATGCAATCATGCGATGCTTGAAGGACACGTCTCTATCTCAGTCATTGTGTGATCAAGGAGATGGACATACAGAGACAGAAAGATAAACACAAAGTTCTAGGTGTGACAGTTTTCGAGTCTCTCCACTCGTGACCTCTAACACCTAGATGTACTGTAGGTGTAAGTGACGAGTAACCTGTCCTGTAACACCTAGATATACTGTTGGTGTTAATGACTAACAACGTGTCCTGCCCAAACCGACTAAAGGAACATGCATTTTCTCTGTCTCTCTGTCCCCGTGTCTGTGTGTCTATTTCACCTTATCTTTGTGTGTACGCTCGTGCCTGTGTAATATCTTAGACTGGGAATGATGGATGTCATGCAGCGAGAGCGTGGGTAGGGGTTGAGCAAGTGCAGTATTGGGGACGCACGGTGAGAATAAGAGCCAGGGTAAGGATCGTGATGTTAAGCATAACAATGGGTATGTGAATGGTTGACAAGGCCGTACGGGTAAGATGAATAGCATGAGAAGGGGGTAGAAAGTATATTGGTAAATAATTAATCAGTAGGAAACAGGTAGCTGGTAGGATAGCAGATGTCAAGAACCGAGTTGAAAAATATTGCAACGTTGGTGGAGTAGACATCAAGCAAATGTAGATCCGGAGGAGCTAAGGCGACTTGGAGAGTGAGCGGGGGTAAGGGGGTTCGATATAGCAATTCGATGTACAGAGGGGAATGTTTACGAGATGTGGAGGAGAGTCAGAGTGTGGCATGAGTGGACACAGGAGTGCGACAAAGTGGGGAGAGCACGCCAGGGTAGCGCATCTGGACTCGAGAGAGAGAGAGCGGTCGTGGGAGTTTGACACGGGCCGGTTCAAGAGTTGGGGACGCATGCTCGATCCAGCGGTGTATCATTTATAAAAGAGCAACGTTGTCTGTCAACTAAATGATGAGAGCCTTGCAGAAGGCCTGACTCAAAAAGTTTTAGAAAGTGAACCCCCCCCCCCCCCCCATGTGGGGGTAAAAAGTTGATCCAACAGGTTTCCGAAAATTGTCAACCCCCCAAAAAATGCACTTCCCCGGCCCCCCCCCCATTTTGTTTACATTTGTAGCCAAAATAAATTTCTACACACCCTACATACAATAAAATAAATAGTATCTGCACACATTAAGGAGGGGTGGGGGGGGGGAGAGGACATCAGTGGGGGGGCAACGGGCGAGGTGCGAAGCGCCGAGAAGCGCTCCGCATGAGGTTGAGGAAGGCGGTCACGTGCCGCCAATATTCTAGTGGACTACAAATGGAAGAAATTTTGATTTAAAGCTTTCGTGACAGCAGTAATTCATATTCTTAGCTTTTTCGGTAAAGTCACGCTGAAAGGAAACAATAAAATAATAAAATATATAACACAATTTAAATTCTCACGACGTTTCGACCAAAACACAAACGGTCGTCATCAGGTGTGTCGGATTGCATACATCTATTTATTTATTAAGAATACAATTGGCAGAGTTGGGGACTCGGTGTTATGGAGAACAAGGGCTGTCCATATTCGGCACTGAGGGCTGTAAATACAAGTGTGATGCCCGTCACATGGTAACACGACTCGTCGTGTGTAGCTTTTATTTCTTTATTTGTTGGACCCCATTGTGACAATAATACTGTGTAATTTAAACGTGAAACGCTATTCACAGTATTCACTCACTCTTGAATAGAGAGAATATTTCAGAAGCGCGACCAACCACAGACAAGCGGGAGAGGAAACAGCAAATTACCCCAAGCTTTGCGGTCCTCTTCATACGAAGAAGACTTCGACGAATTAAAGAATGTTTACAAGTGGGGAAAAAAATCGCAGCACCCAGAGAAAACCCACTCGTGCGAGGGGGCAACGTTCGAGTCCGTACAGATGGAAGGCGTGGAGTCCACATTCGATGCACTGCCATCTCCTCGCAAGGCAGGATGGTGCTGTGGTTCGCGTAGTATGATGAGCCAGGTTACCTGAGTTCGATTCCCACTCATTCCCAATAACAGTTACGAATATGTGAACTGGTTCGAGTTCGTCTCAGTCCTTTTTTGAGTTGTTGATGCAGTGTGTAAATTGAAGGCGCGGTATACAAGCAGTCCCCGACTTACGAACGTATGACTGACGAACATCCACCCTTACGATTGAACCGCCAGTTGCTGTTGTTTTAACCATCTGACTTGCGAACGTTCGCACGTACTCGCGAATTAAACAGCGGAACTCCTTTGTTTGGCAGAGCAATCATCCTCGATATATAATGGGTCCCAGCTTCCCGTTGGAAGTGAGTGTGCGTGTGAAAGTGTGTGTGTGCCTGTGTGTACGCGTGGGGAGCGGTAGTGTAGCGGTTAGTGCGCTGCGCTATGAACCTGGCAACTCGGGTTCGATTCCCGCTCACGGCCAACACCAGTGACGATTATCTGAACCGGTCCAGGCCCTCCCCTAGGTCGACTCAGCCTCAAATGAGTACCTGGTGTGGTGTGTAAACATTGCCACTAGGGCGACAAAGGCGGTCGGGCGTGATGCTGGCCACCCACCCCCTCGTGTACCGATCCGGCCTTCATAGGTGCTCGCTAACAGCACTTGCCCCTACAGTCTGTTAAGGCTATACGGGGGATCTTTGTTGTGTGGCTGTGTGTGTGTGTGTGTACGCGTGGGGAGCGGTAGTGTAGCGGTTAGCGCGCTGTGTGCTGCCGCCGCAGCGGAGCCGCTCCAGCGGAACCGCGCCCACTACCGCGGCGCCATCACCTATGCCGCGGATTTCCCGCCACTCTCCCGGGGCCGGTGCCTTCTCAGACGTCCGCGTTTTGGCCCCTGCACAGTCGTGAGGCCGCTGCAGCAGGGCCACTCTGCCGACGCTGCGCACCCTCACCACCCCCCCCCCCCCCCACACGAACGTACACACGCCCCACGTAGAGCCAGGACCCGGCTGATAGGTTTTTGTCCAGAAGTCCCTAGTGGGATCGAACTTCATGGTTTCCTGCGGCCGGGAAATTGGGCGATCTTCCCCCCTGTAGCTGACATGCACTGCGGCGCCGCGACCTGATATTAAAGTTGCATGGTCGCGGCAAGGGCCATCGAACCACCGCGAGTGGAGCCTCACACATGCACGGGTCAGTGGACTGGTAGCGGGAGAACAGAGAGCGGACGTCGGTGAGATCACTGCGGCGACGTCATCTGAGCTGGGATCCGGACATCGAAAGGGCGGGAGAATCCGTGCCCCTGATTGGACGGGAGGCCAAGGGTCGGAAAGAGCAAAAATTCCTTTGTTGTAGGTAGGATAAAAAGGAGGGGGATTGGGGTAGCAAGGGGGGTTCTTCTTCTGGTTCAAGATCATCGCGGTCCCGGGAGCAGGAGAGTCAGCCATCCGAGACGTCCGTGAGACAGGCTTGTCGCCTCATTCCCTCACAACGGTCAGTACATCGGGGAGAAGTAAGTACGAGTGAGAGAGGCATAAGTTCAGCCGTTTTACATCCAGGATAGAGAGCGGGGCGAGCGGTAGGGGAAATCGACTCGTAGACCTCCGAGGGATAGATTAGCGTCCACTGACCATACCATCACAGGTAAATAAAATTCGCTAGTGGGGGGAAAAAACTGTGTTGCGTGGTCTTTTGGGAGTGTGAAGTGGAGGGCAGTGTGCGCTGGGTGTCTACGTGTATGCGCGGCTGTGCACCTCGAGACGAAGCGTGGGGTGTTTACGTGCCCGCACGATTGCCCACCATAGTGCTTAGCGATCGCGTACCTGGGTGGCGGTGCCGCGGTCACGCACCCGCACACGGGTCTGGTCGTGAGATAGCGAGTTAGAGCGCCGAGCGCGCGCGTATTCGCGCCACTGTTTGAGCGGGACCTTTAACTCAGAGCCAAGCGAGCGTCCCCAATCAGCGGCGCGCACGGCAGAAACCCTGCCCGCCCGTCCCCCGGCTCCAACCCCTTCGTGTGCGATTGGTCTGTTTACGGGCAGAGGGTAGGGGCGTGTTTGTTATTGTCGGCACACGTGGAGCGCGGGTGGGAGGGAAACACGCGCCGCGCCTGTTTGTTTACGGGCGGGACGGAGATTTACTGGCGAGCGCGCTTACAGCCCCACCCCGCCTTTGCACAGTGTAACGCATCTCAAGCGCGGAGCGTACGAGCCGCTAATTAAACTATGCAAACGCGGTCTACATCCCAGGCAGAGGTACAGGGGGGCGAGACGTTAGGGGTCGTTAGTTTGGACCTGACGGAGCAGCCGGGGGGTAGCGGTGTGAGTGGAACGGGGGAGTCGGTGGGCAGCGGCCCCGACAATTCAGCGATGGCGGGGGACGGTAGCCCGCACAGCTGCGCTACGAACCCGGCGTCCTGGATTCGATTCCCGCTCACGGCCAACACTAGTGACGATTATCTAAACCGGTCCTGGGCCTCCCCTAGGTCGACTCGGTGCGGTGTGTAAACATTGCCACTAGGGAGACAAAGGCGGTCGGGCGTGGTGCTGGCCACCCACCCCCTCGTGTATCGTTCCGGCCTTCATAGGTGCTCGCTAACAGCACTTGCCCCTACAGTCTGTTAAGGCTGTATGGGGGATCTTTATATTTGCCGTTGTGTATGCGTGCTCCCGTGTGTGTGCATTTTTGAGGACGTAGTATGCCCCTTCCGACAAGCAGGTCAGCATGAACACTCAAAGTGAAAATGAGACGGATGTTTTTCTTTTCAAGTTACTTTATTGCATAACTTATATGCCCTACAGCATTTAAAATAGTTTTACGCGCTAAAGTACTACTTATTTATGAGTTTAACAATGCTTAATATTTTTTTGCGGTAACGATTTCTACGTCCAGTATGTGCAGTACAGAAAATGTAATATTGAGTTCAGAGGTTCAAAGAAATTGACATTCGAAACGCGTGTTCATTCGTAACATGTGTGTGTGTATGTCTGTGTCAAGAGCGGTGGCACTGTAGTTAGCTCAGTGTTAAGAACCCGCCCACCGGAGTTCGATTCTAACTTATGACCAATAACAGTTGGGAATTCTTTTTTTATTTTAGCCTAAAATTAGATCTTAATGCAGTGTATAAACTTCAGCACTGGGACGATGAAGATCTTCAGGCGTGGCATTGTTCAACAACCGCTTCTTGTGTCGATGCTGGCCTTCATTGGTTCTTGCTAATAGCACTTGTCCAACAGTCTGTTCAAGGCGAGACGAGGGATCTTATTCGTGTATTCTTTTCGTTACTTTTTAATTGGGGCAAACTTGAAGCTAAAGCGATCTTTAAACTGCCCGAATTTAAAAGTTTACAGGAAGAATTGTTTGAGCCATCTAAATTTAGATGTCTCGGCTGTCGTCGTGGGGATGCCTGCTGGTGAGGGTGGTCGTGGAGGCGGCGGCAGTGATGGCCGTGGCGGCATCGTCTGTGGTGGCGGCAAGACTCAGCGTCTCCATCTCCTGGTGGAGCATCTCCTTCTGCTGAAACAGCGCCACGATCTCCTGATACAGCGTCACGTTCTCCTCGTGCAGCGTCTGGCTTTCTTGACGCAGCGTCTCGTGATACTCGATCGCTCGCTGTTGCAGAATATTCTCCCGACGCAACGCCTCCATCTCCCGAAGCGCCGCCTCCGTCCGCTCGCGCAGCACCTTGTTCTTCTGAAACATCATCGCGACTTGCTCCTCCTGCACCTCATTCGCCTGACGCAGCAGCTCGTAGTGTTGTTTGTGCGTTGACATAGCTGAAAATATACAAGGATAAGAACGAATAGTTTGGAAAGCGCCTGGCACAGGAAATATACCGAAGCACTGACGAGGACACGACATGACGCCTATGATTGTAATCGCCATCAATATGAACCAACTCGCAAGCAACGCGAGAGTCCATGACATTACGACCATGTCGGGTTTCGGGCATGGTGGCATTGGTATGGGGTAGTCCACGTCGCCTTCCTCCTTGCCCGCGAAGAGGGGGAAGACGTTCCCAACAGACACGGGGCCCAACTGCAGCAGCAGCAGTAGCAGGAGCATCTTGCCGCTCGTGTCGCCAAAGTCCAAGTGTGATCACGTGCTCAGACAGCCCCTTTAGTAACGTCAACATTTCCGGCCGTGACGCGTGGTTATAGATTTCCTGTTGTGACACGTGGTTTAGAAGCGCGTATGTGACGTCACTAGCGTCGATATGTGTTATTTATTTATTTAACGGAGTCATTCCTTTCCTCTACTCACTTGAGTTCAACACGGTGACCTCTGCATTACTAATTTTACGTGGTAATATTTTTATAAAATGGCCATTTTATTTAACATTGGATTCAAAATAAACTAATTTATTCCTTGCAATGTCACAGAAAAAAAGTAGTCAATTTATGCATGTCAATGCAATCATGCGATGCTTGAAGGACACGTGTCTATCTCAGTCACTGTGTGATCAAGGAGATGGACATACAGAGACAGAAAGATAAACACAAAGTTCTAGGTGTGACAGTTGTCGAGTCTCTACACTCGTGAACTCTAACACCTAGATGTACTGTAGGTGTAATTGACGAGTAACCTGTCCTGTAACACCTAGATATACTTCGATTTAAAGCTTTCGTGACTGCAATGATTCATCTTCTTTGGTTCTTTCGGTAAAGTCACGTAGAATGAGAATAAAATAATAAATTGATAAAATATTATTGTGTTATTTTATTTTATCAATTTATTATTTTATTCTCATTCTACGTGACTTTACCGAAAGAACCAAAGAAGACCTAGATATACTGTTGGTGTTCGTGACTAACAACGTGTCCTGCCCAAACCGACTAAAGGAAAATGCATTTTCTCTGTCTCTCTGTCCCCGTGTCTGTGTGTCTATTTCACCTTATCTTTCTGTGTATGCCCGTGCCTGTGTAATATCTTAGACTGGGAATGATGGACGTCATGCCCCGAGAGCGTGGGTAGGGGTTGAACAAGGGCAGTATTGGGGGCACACGGTGAGAATAAGAGCCAGGTAAGGATCGTGATGTTAAGCATAACAATGGGTATGTGAATGGTTGACAAGGCCGTACGGGTAAGATTAATAGCATGAGAAGGGGGTAGAAAGTATATTGGTAAATAATTAATCAGTAGGAAACAGGTAGCTGGTAGGATAGCAGATGTCAAGAACCGAGGTGAAAAATATTGCAACGTTTGTGGAGTAGACATCAAGCAAATGTAGATCCGGAGGATCTAAGGCGACTTGGAGAGTGAGCGGGGGTAAGGGGGTTCGAAATAGCAATTCGATGTACAGAGGGGAATGTTTACGAGATGTGGAGGAGAGTCAGAGTGTGGCCATGAGTAGTCACAGGAGTGCGACAAAGTGGGGAGAGCACGCCAGGGTAGCGCATCTGGACTCGAGAGAGAGAGAGAGCGGTCGTGGGAGTTTGACACGGGCCGGTTCAAGAGTTGGGGACGCATGCTCGATCCAGCGGTGTATCATTTATAAAAGACCAACGTTGTCTGTCAACTAAATGATGAGAGCCTTGCAGAAGGCCTGACTCAAAAAGTTTTAGAAAGTGAACCCCCCCCCCCCCCCCACATGTGGGGGTAAAAAGTTGATCCAACAGGTTTCCGAAAATTGTCGACCCCCCAAAAAATGCACCTCCCCACCCTCCCCCCCAATTTTGTTTAAATTTGTAGCTAAAATAAATTTCTACACATCCTACATACAATAAAGTAAATAGTATCTGCACACATTAAGGAGGGGTGGGGGGGGGGAAGGAGAGGACATCAGTGGGGGGGCAACGGGCGAGGTGCGAAGCGCCGAGAAGCGCTCCGCATGCGGTTGAGGAAGGCGGCCACGTGCCGCCAATATTCTAGTGGACTACAATTGGAAGAAATTTTGATTTAAAGCTTTCGTGACTGCAGTAATTCATATTCTTAGCTATTTCGGTAAAGTCACGCTGAAAGGAAACAATAAAATAATAAATATATATAATACAATTTAAATTCTCACGACGTTTCGACCAAAACACAAACGGTCGTCATCAAGTGTGTCGGATTGCATACATCTATTTATTTATTAAGAATACAATTGGAAGAGTTGGGGACTCGGTGTTATGGAGAACAAGGGCTGTCCATATTCGGCACTGAGGGCTGTAAATACAAGTGTGATGCCCGTCACATGGTAACACGACTCGTCGTGTGTAGCTTTTATTTCCTTATTTGTTGGACCCCATTGTGACAATAATGCTGTGTAACTTAAACTTGAAACGCTATTCAGGGTATCGACTCACTCTTGAATAGAGAAAATATTTCAGAAGCGCGAACAACCACAGACAAGCGGGAGAGGAAACAGACAATTACCCCAAGCTTTGCGGTCCTCTTCATACGAAGAAGACTTCGACGAATTAAAGAATGTTTACAAGTGGGGAAAAAAACCGAAGTACCCAGAGAAAACCCACTCGTGCGAGGGGGCATCGTTCGAGTCCGTACAGATGGAAGGCGTGGAGTCCACATTCGATGCACTGCCATCTCCTCGCAAGGCAGGATGGTGCTGTGGTTCGCGTAGTATGATGAGCCAGGTTACCTGAGTTCGATTCCCACTCATTCCCAATAACAGTTACGAATATGTGAACTGGTTCGAGTTCGTCTCAGCCCTTATTGAGTTGTTGGTGCAGTGTGTAAATTTTAAGGCGTGGTATACAAGCAGTCCCAGACTTACGAACGTATGACTGACGAACATCCACCTTTACGATTGAACCGCCAGTTGCTGTTTTAACCATCTGACTTGCGAACGTTCGCACGTACTCGCGAATTAAACAGCGGAACTCCTTTGTTTGGCAGAGCAATCATCCTCGATATATAATGGGTCCCAGCTTCCCGTTGGAAGTGAGTGTGCGTGTGAAAGTGTGTGTGTGCCTGTGTGTGTGTACGCGTGGGGAGCGGTAGTGTAGCAGTTAGCGCGCTGCGCTATGAACCTGGCAACTCGGGTTCGATTCCCGCTCACGGCCAACACCAGTGACGATTATCTGAACCGGTCCAGGCCCTCCCCTAGGTCGACTCAGCCTCAAATGAGTACCTGGTGCGGTGTGTAAACATTGCCACTAGGGAGACAAAGGCGGTCGGGCGTGGTGCTGGCCACCCACCCCCTCGTGTACCGATCCGGCCTTCATAGGTGCTCGCTAACAGCACTTGCCCCTACAGTCTGTTAAGGCTGTATGGGGGATCTTTATATTTGCCGTTGTGTATGCGTGCTCCCGTGTGTGTGTGCATTTTTGAGGACGTAGTATGCCCCTTCCGACAAGCAGGTCAGCATGAACACTCAAAGTGAAAATGAGACGGATGTTTTTCTTTTCAAGTTACTTTATTGCATAACTTATATGCCCTACAGCATTTAAAATAGTTTTACGCGCTAAAGTACTACTTATTTATGAGTTTAACAATGCTTAATATTTTTTTGCGGTAACGATTTCTACGTCCAGTATGTGCAGTACAGAAAATGTAATATTGAGTTCAGAGGTTCAAAGAAATTGACATTCGAAACGCGTGTTCATTCGTAACATGTGTGTGTGTATGTCTGTGTCAAGAGCGGTGGCACTGTAGTTAGCTCAGTGTTAAGAACCCGCCCACCGGAGTTCGATTCTAACTTATGACCAATAACAGTTGTGAATTCTTTTTTTTATTTTAGCCTAAAATTAGATCTTAATGCAGTGTATAAACTTCAGCACTGGGACGATGAAGATCTTCAGGCGTGGCATTGTTCAACAACCGCTTCTTGTGTCGATGCTGGCCTTCATTGGTTCTTGCTAATAGCACTTGTCCAACAGTCTGTTCAAGGCGAGACGAGGGATCTTATTCGTGTATTCTTTTCGTTACTTTTTAATTGGGGCAAACTTGAAGCTAAAGCGATCTTTAAACTGCCCGAATTTAAAAGTTTACAGGAAGAATTGTTTGAGCCATCTAAATTTAGATGTCTCGGCTGTCGTCGTGGGGATGCCTGCTGGTGAGGGTGGTCGTGGAGGCGGCGGCAGTGATGGCCGTGGCGGCATCGTCTGTGGTGGCGGCAAGACTGAGCGTCTCCATCTCCTGGTGGAGCATCTCCTTCTGCTGAAACAGCGCCACGATCTCCTGATACAGCGTCACGTTCTCCTCGTGCAGCGTCTGGCTTTCTTGACGCAGCGTCTCGTGATACTCGATCGCTCGCTGTTGCAGAACATTCTCCCGACGCAACGCCTCCATCTCCCGAAGCGCCGCCTCCGTCTGCTCGCGCAGCACCTTGTTCTTCTGAAACATCATCGCGACTCGCTCCTCCTGCACCTCATTCGCCTGACGCAGCAGCTCGTAGTGTTGTTTGTGCGTTGACATAGCTGAAAATATACAAGGATAAGAACGAATAGTTTGGAAAGCGCCTGGCACAGGAAATATACCGAAGCACTGACGAGGACACGACATGACGCCTATGATTGTAATCGCCATCAATATGAACCAACTCGCAAGCAACGCGAGAGTCCATGACATTACGACCATGTCGGGTTTCGGGCATGGTGGCATTGGTATGGGGTAGTCCACGTCGCCTTCCTCCTTGCCCGCGAAGAGGGGGAAGACGTTCCCAACAGACACGGGGCCCAACTGCAGCAGCAGCAGTAGCAGGAGCATCTTGCCGCTCGGTGTCGCCAAAGTCCAAGTGTGATCACGTGCTCAGACAGCCCCTTTAGTAACGTCAACATTTCCGGCCGTGACGCGTGGTTATAGATTTCCTGTTGTGACACGTGGTTTAGAAACGCGTCTGTGACGTCACTAGCGTCGATATGTGTTATTTATTTATTTAACGGAGTCATTCCTTTCCTCTACTCACTTGAGTTCAACACGGTGACCTCTGCATTACTAATTTTACGTGGTAATATTTTTATAAAATGGCCATTTTATTTAACATTGGATTCAAAATAAACTAATTTATTCCGTGCAATGTCACAGAAAAAAAGTAGTCAATTTATGCATGTCAATGCAATCATGCGATGCTTGAAGGACACGTGTCTATCTCAGTCACTGTGTGATCAAGGAGATGGACATACAGAGACAGAAAGATAAACACAAAGTTCTAGGTGTGACAGTTGTCGAGTCTCTCCACTCGTGAACTCTAACACCTAGATGTACTGTAGGTGTAATTGACGAGTAACCTGTCCTGTAACACCTAGATATACTGTTGGTGTTCGTGACTAACAACGTGTCCTGCCCAAACCGACTAAAGGAAAATGCATTTTCTCTGTCTCTCTGTCCCCGTGTCTGTGTGTCTATTTCACCTTATCTTTGTGTGTACGCCCGTGCCTGTGTAATATCTTAGACTGGGAATGATGGATGTCATGCAGCGAGAGCGTGGGTAGGGGTTGAACAAGGGCAGTATTGGGGACGCACGGTGAGAATAAGAGCCAGGGTAAGGATCGTGATGTTAAGCATAACAATGGGTATGTGAATGGTTGACAAGGCCGTACGGGTAAGATGAATAGCATGAGAAGGGGGTAGAAAGTATATTGGTAAATAATTAATCAGTAGGTAAACAGGTAGCTGGTAGGATAGCAGATGTCAAGAACCGATGTGAAAAATATTGCAACGTTGGTGGAGTAGACATCAAGCAAATGTAGATCCGGAGGATCTAAGGCGACTTGGAGAGTGAGCGGGGGTAAGGGGGTTCGATATAGCAATTCGATGTACAGAGGGGAATGTTTACGAGATGTGGAGGAGAGTCAGAGTGTGGCATGAGTGGACACAGGAGTGCGACAAAGTGGGGAGAGCACGCCAGGGTAGCGCATCTGGACTCGAGAGAGAGAGAGCGGTCGTGGGAGTTTGACACGGGCCGGTTCAAGAGTTGGGGACGCATGCTCGATCCAGCGGTGTATCATTTATAAAAGACCAACGTTGTCTGTCAACTAAATGATGAGAGCCTTGCAGAAGGCCTGACTCAAAAAGTTTTAGAAAGTGAACCCCCCCCCCCCCCCACATGTGGGGGTAAAAAGTTGATCCAACAGGTTTCCGAAAATTGTCGACCCCCCAAAAAATGCACCTCCCCACCCTCCCCCCCAATTTTGTTTAAATTTGTAGCTAAAATAAATTTCTACACATCCTACATACAATAAAGTAAATAGTATCTGCACACATTAAGGAGGGGTGGGGGGGGGGAAGGAGAGGACATCAGTGGGGGGGCAACGGGCGAGGTGCGAAGCGCCGAGAAGCGCTCCGCATGCGGTTGAGGAAGGCGGCCACGTGCCGCCAATATTCTAGTGGACTACAATTGGAAGAAATTTTGATTTAAAGCTTTCGTGACTGCAGTAATTCATATTCTTAGCTATTTCGGTAAAGTCACGCTGAAAGGAAACAATAAAATAATAAATATATATAATACAATTTAAATTCTCACGACGTTTCGACCAAAACACAAACGGTCGTCATCAGGTGTGTCGGATTGCATACATCTATTTATTTATTAAGAATACAATTGGAAGAGTTGGGGACTCGGTGTTATGGAGAACAAGGGCTGTCCATATTCGGCACTGAGGGCTGTAAATACAAGTGTGATGCCCGTCACATGGTAACACGACTCGTCGTGTGTAGCTTTT